ACATGCAGTGTTAACGGCTTCCACCAAAAAATATTTAGGCAAATTATTTTCATAAAGAATAGTACGAGCCATTTCTTCGAGAGTTCTATTTTTTTTTTTTCAACTACACCATTTTGTTGAGGAGTTCTAGGGGCAGAAAAATTATGATTAATTTCAAACTCATCACAAAACATAATAAACTCATCATTTTCAAATTCTTTACCATAATCACTTCTAATACTACAAATATTAAGTTTTTTTTTTCATTTTGAATTCTTTTATAAAGTCTTAAGAAATTATAAAAAGCTTCATTTTTGTGTGCTAAAAATAATACCCATGTATATCTAGTATAATCATCAACACAAACAAGAGCATATGATTTTCCTTATAAACTTAATATTCTAGATGGTCCAAATAAATCAATATACAAGAGTTGAAGCGGTTTAGTGGTTGAAATGATATTTTTAGATTTAAAAGAAATTCTAGTTTGTTTTCCAAAATGACATGCATCACAAAGTTTGTCTTTTTCAAAAATAATTTTTGGTAAGCCAATGACTAACTTATTTTTTAAAAGTTTGGAAATTAAATCAAAATGAGCATGTCCTAATCTTCTATGCCAAAGCCAACCATTATCATTTATAACAGATAAACATTTAATATTAAAATGAGAAGACACATCATATAAATCAAACACATTTACATTCTCATATCTATGACCTACAAATAAAGTTTTGTTTTCTAGAGTGTTCTCAATAGTGCAATGAGTTTTCTCAAAAATAACTCTATATCCTTTATCACATAATTGATTAATGCTAAGCAAGTTATGTTTTAAACCTTCAACAAATAAAACATTTTCAATAATAGGAGAATGATTTTTACCGATACTACCTACACCTATGATTTTACCCTTGCTATTGTCGCCGAAGGTCACATATCTGCCATCATTTGATTGAAGTGTAGCGAACATAACTTTATTTCTGGTCATGTGCCTTGAACATGCACTGTCGAGATACCATCTATCGTTCCTAGATTTTGTCTTGAAACATATCTACAAAAATTTGATTTTTCTATTGGTACCCATATTTTCTTGGGTCCATGAAAGTTAGAATTTGACATTTTTGAAATTTCCTTAGGAATCCACATCTTTTTTATTTTAGCAAAATAATTTCTTTTAATAGGACATGAAGGTGAAATATGACATTTTGTACCACAAAAATGACATGTGAGATGAGAGTGATTAGAAGATGCATATACAAAATCATTTTTGACAGCTTTTACTTTTGAAAAAGGTTTATATCCAATTCCGGCTTTACCAAAAGTACGATTTTGATTTTTAAGAATTTTATCGAAAGTCTCTCTACCTTGAGTGAATTTGTAAAGAGTATTTTTCAAGTCTTCGATATTTTCTTTCAAAATAATTTGCTTTTTTTTAAAGACTCATTTTCTTCTTGCAATACAACTAATGTTTTTTTTTTTTCAAAAATTGAAGACTCTTTTCGAGTTAAAATATCATTTTCCTTTTTCATTTTCATGGTTTCATTTTCTAAATTATTTATTCTGGAAATTAAGGATTCATTTTCTTTTGACAAACTTGAAATCACTTTCTTTTGATAGTTACTTTTTAACCTGAGCTTCATAAATTCAACATGTAATTTATCAAAAGTTGATTGTAATTCATTAAACGTAAAAGATTCATCATTTGCCTCATCTTCGTTTCCAAGTGCCATTAAGCATAGGTTAGCAACTTCATTTTTGCAAACTTCGGTTTCTGAGTCGCTTTCATCACTATCTTCTCCCCATGCTGCAATCATGGCTTTCTTTTTGTCCTTGTTGAACTGTTTCTTAAGTTCCGGACATTTTGATTTATAGTGTCCAGATTTGTTGCATTCGTAGCAGGTAACTTCATTTTTTTGTGATTTTCTCCATTTTGAAAATCCCTATTATTAAAATCTTTTCTAAAAAATTTTCGCACACCTTGTTTCTTTTTCACAAACCTTTTGAACTTCCTAGTAATAAATGTCATTTCCTCATCATCATCCGAATTATCTTGATGTTTCGAGGTGGATTTGAAGACTATTCATTTTTTCTTGTTGTAGTTCTCCTCTTCTTTTCCTTATTACATTATGAGCTCATGAGTTAAGAGAGATTCCATTAACTCATCTAGACTTAGCTTTGATAAATCCTTGGCTTCGGTAATGGCAATGACTTTTGTCTCCCAACTTTTTGGCAATGACCTAAGCACTTTTCTTACAATTTCAGCATTAGTATATATTTTTCCAAGAGAAGTTAAACCATTAATAATATCAGTAAAGCAAGTAAACATTTGAGGAATAGTTTCATCAGGTTTCATTTTAAAGAGTTAATAATTATGGACTAGCAAACTGACTCTAGATTCTTTAACTTGTTCCATTCCCTCATGAGTCACTATAAGTTTATCCAAAATTTCTTTTGCGGTTTTACATGTGGAAATTCTGTTGAACTTGTTGGCATCTAAGGCGCAGTACAACATGTTCGTAGCTTTGACATTAATTTAGGTCATTCTAGTATTTGATTCATTCCACTCATCTTCAGGTTTGGGTACCCTAAGTCCATCTACGATTTTGGTAGGAATTTTTGGACCATTGCAAATAATTTTCCAGCATTCATAATCATTAGATTGAACATGTATGGTCATTCTAGTTTTTCAATAGCTAAAATTTGTGCCGCTAAATAGTGGTGGCTTATTGGACGCTTGCCCCTCAGGTAAGAAATAATTAGGGGTTGCCATGATTTACTCTAAGACGGTTAAGTCACACAAACTAGAGTTTAGACTCTGATACCAATTGTTATCCCAGGTAGGCAACCCAAGAGGGGGGTGAATTGGGTTATTTAAAAAAATTTACAATATTAAAATTTATAAACACAATATTCAGAATACAAAAAAAAAAAGAATAATAATTATCAATATGAAAAATAAGAGAGTTAGGGAGAGAAAATCAAACACAAAGATTTATAGTGGTTCGGCACGCCAGGCCTACGTCCACTCTCCAAGGAACCTCATTGAGAATTTCTTTACCATCAAAATAAATTAATACACCACCAATTCTTCACCAAGTTTGTGGATTTTGTACAAGATTTACTCTTATCTATTGAGCCTCACTCAACAATAAATGTCTTACCCTTACAAAAAACTCTCACAATAATGAATAAAAATAAGTGGTACTTAAACCTTCTTTTACAATAATTATCTCACAAAGAGTAGATATGAAAGTATAAGAACAAATGCTATACTTAGATCTGAAAGTGAAAGAGCAGAATACAATATACTAAAAAATTTTGGAATATACAGAAAATTTTCTCTTTAAGTTCTTGATTTTTCTCCACACACAACACTTCTATTTATACCAAAAAATATACTCGTTGAAAGTAAGACGCTCATTGCTGACGTCATGCCTTTCATAAGCACGCTCCTTGATTTTAAATAGTCAACAAATGTTAATAATTAAAAAGATAAAAGTAAGATTAATTTTTTCTTTTCCTTTTTTGTTTTTTCAAATATGGAGCTACCGTTTTTGTAGACACTTTAATACAAAGTTCACAACTTTCAAACACGCAAATGATTTGCTCCATCTTGTTTTATTATAATATATATATATATATATATATATATAACTCCATCTTTTTCTTCTTATTTTATTGTAATTTGATATAATCAATGTAGTGTAGTGTAGTGTGATATGATATAATCAATATAGTGCAAAAAGCTTAATCGCTCACGTGATGTATTCTATTTATATTATATGCATTCTATATAATATTCTAATCAAATATTTGTATATATAGTAAAATCTGTTTAAGTAATATTTATAATAGATCTAATCATATATACCATTTTTAAATTTTTGTAGAGATTTTCAACTAAACATAACCCACTACTCCATTTGGATATATCACTTTTGTCAAAAGAAGACAACTCATCAATATTACGTTTGTTAAGATAATACAACCAATCAATCAATTTTGTCAAAATAATATAATTAATCAATTTTAATTTTGTCAAAAAGTGAATAGTAGAGTTTTCAAAAATATTTTTATTTGAATAATATTTAACAAATATATATATTTTAAACAGATAATATTTTGTGTCAAATAATATGTATATTAAAAAATTTAAATTTTTACAAATAATATTTTAGATATCATCAAAATTAAATAATATGATTAATAGAGTGAATAATCAAACCAACAATTAATCTACTTCTACTCCTATGCTTCGAAAATAAAGTACATAAAATAAAGTGCAAAAAAAAATAAGTGCATAAAATATAAATGATAAGAAAACTATAAATCAGTTGTCTTTAATTTGAGTTCTAAATCCATTTACATTATAGCCATGAATGACTATTTATAAACAAACATTTGTTGGAAAAAACTACATAATAACTATCATATTCTTTCATTTTCCACACTTCACATTCCATGACCTTCCACTTCATTTTTATGTCTCTATAACTTCTTTTAACCTCCTATTTATGTTCTATGATTCTCCACATTCTGCATCATCTTTTCACATGTGTTTAATGATTCATAACTTCTCATAACCTCTAAATGGGTAAGTGAGTGCCACGTGCCCATCAATTTATCAATAATAATAATACAATGATGCTACATGCATCAATTAGTGTACTAATTAGTGTATCAACACTAGTTATGACATTATTGTTGACCTTACTCATTAATCACATTACAAATTTCAAAAATTTCTTAAATTATGCTATATCATCAATTGATATATTAATTAATACATTAATTGATATATATAACATTATTTATAATAATAAATTATTTATTTATAATGCCAATAATTTCTTTATATATTTCAATTATCTAACATAAAATTCGGAAACTCTTATAGGTAACACTTACGTTTTCATTAACTCTTTCAACAATTAGAACAACGTTGGGCGTTACCAGCGATGGGCCAAAACGAACCAATAACTTCTCATAAAAGGCAGGCCCAATGCGCGGTGAGCACCACCCACGAGGGACTGAGATACATCCCATCTCATCTCTCAGCAGCACCTTCTTCAATTCTCCATCAACCCGTCTCTCTCTCTCTCTCTCTCTCTCTTTTCAAACCCTAGTTGTTTTCTTCCATGGCCGGAGCTGTGGAGAACTTCTCTTCCGACGGATGCTGCCGCCACCGCCTCCGCCTACGACGACGACATTAAGTTTGGGTTCCAGCGGCCGGAAATGTACCAGAACAACCTCACCGGCACGGTCGATCCCTACGACCGCCACGTCTTCCTCTGCTACAAGAATCACGACTCTTGGCCTCCTCGTGTTGAGGACTCCGATTCTGATCCTCTTCCCAAGCTCCTCTCTGGAGCTCTCAAAGCTCGCAAGAACGACCTCAATGTCAAGGTTAGTCTCTTCAACCGATGAATTTTCATAGTTCAGTTCAAATCACAGAGAGTTGTTCAAGTAGGTTTTGATCTGATGAGCTTTGGCTTGGTGATTTCATGTGCTAGACTCGTTTGACGATATGCGAGGGACGCGACGGGACTGAGTTTTCCGATGGAGATGTGTTGATTTTCCTTGAAATGATCAAATACAGGTAAATTAAAGAGGATAGGTTAGGGTTTCAATTGCAATTTTCCATGTAGGTCGTGAAATTTCTTAGAATATTTAGTTTTGGTTTTTTCTTGCTGAATTATTTATTGTTTAGGAGTCTCAGATGTGCCAAATTTGACCAAAATTTGAGGGGTTAGGGCTTCAATTTCCTAATTATTTTGTTTGTTGAGTCTGTGATTGCGTTTATTTCATTGATTGAAGGGGTTTGAAGGACTCAGATGTTGATAATTTTGTTGAGGACGTGCTTGTGAATGGAAAACCTTGGGCTTCTGGATTGGAGGAGCGGTTGATTGGTTCTCATGTATTTGTGTGTGCCCATGCTAGCAGAGATCAAAGGTGTGGTGTTTGTGGACCAGCTCTCATTGAGAAATTTAACGAGGAGATTGAACTGAGGGGATTGAAGGATCAGGTGTTTGTGAGTGCTTGTTCGCATGTTGGTGGTCACAAATATGCTGGGAACTTGATAATTTTCAGCACAGATCAAGAGGGTAACATTGCTGGTCACTGGTCAGTTCAAATTTGATTGCTATCTTTTTCTTGGTTCTTGAAGTCTCACATATATTTGATGCAATTGGATATTATTATGGTGTTAACAAATTGTTCTTGTTATTGTTATGTAGGTATGGTTATGTTACCCCAAATGATGTGGCTGATTTGCTTGAAAAGCATATTGGAAAGGGAGAGATCATAGAGAATCTTTGGAGGTTTGTGCTTTTGAGATTTCTTTCTTTCTTTTTTCAGTGAAATGCTTGTTGGAATGATATGTTGCTATTCTGACCATTAATTAACAAAGTTCCAGAAGATACTGAACGTATGAACCATATGGCACATGATCAAACATCTTAGTGATAAATTTCATGGGATGTGCAGTTAGGGATTGCAACTTTTATTTGCTGTGGGATGAATCATTTCTACAGTATTTCTTTTGGACTTATTTATGAATCATTTGTACATCTGGATGTGGTATCTTTAGTTGTCAAATCTAGTTTCAAGCTTGGTCTAATATGATTCAATTTGATTCAAGTAGATCCTCTCATTCTATTCTGGTAGTTTGCGTGTGGCTCTCATTTGAATGTCGAGACATAACCATCATGTTGAAAGCATGTACATAAGTTGCCCTGCAAGTTCTCCATGGATGTTGCACGAGGTATATGATTACCTTTTAGATTGTACACCTGTTTTTAGTTTGCTAGTCTAATTTGTCTTGATTAGAAGCATATTTGTCTCTTCTTTGCACTTGTTAATGGATGGGATGTCTTTTCACTCCTGCATCAATATTCAAAAAAACATTGGAGCATACAGTTAACCACATTGAACTGCAGGGGCCAAATGGGTGTACCTGTTGAACAAGCTGAAAAAGTGAACAAACAGAAGATTCCAAATGGAAAGGTTATGGAGAAAAGCGAGAAGCCCCATGGAGATATCAGTCAAGACAAGAAGGAAGATGTGGCAAGCTGTTGTCAGGGTGCTAATGGGTTTTCATGCTGCAGAGATGGAAGTTCGGAGATTAAAGAAATCACAGAAGTGCAAGAAAAGAAGGGGCTGGGCAAACTCTCAAGCTGGATGGGAAAGTGGGAGGAAAGTGATGTTCTTGCTGCGGTTGCTGTCTTTGGAGCAGTGGCAACTATTGCTGTGGCTTATAGCTTCTATAGAAGGTCCGGGTGAAAGATGCTCTGTAATCTTGTTCCATTTTGTTGGCATGTCTGTGCCCTCGTTTTTGGTAGAGAGGTCACGAGATATGTTTGAATAATCCTCTGTACCATGCAGTTCTTTAGAACGAAAGTGATAGCTATATATATGTTCATGTTACCACTGTTAAGATGAATTACCAATATTAGCAATCAGAAACAATTTTTTCTTATTTATTTACCAGTAATCCCCGCAAGAACAAATACCATTGTCAAAATGGTGAAATCGATGCATGTCCCTTACAATGATTACGCGATTCACAATTTTTGAAATGAACTTTATGGCATTGTGACAGTCTCCACAAATTCTTAGATTCTTTGTGATTCGGAGAGTAGTCCCAGCACTGGTGTTGATGAGGCCAAATGCAATGGCCAGCCTCTCACTGTGGTAAGAAAGTGCTTCCTCTCATGCTTCGCCTTCAATGTCATGAAGCACACAATCCGTCATGGGGACATATCCCAAGCGTTTCATTTGCGCAGCCAACTCCTTAAGCAGAGAATAATCTTCTCTGATTGAGGATGTGACTTGTCTCCGGATCCAAATCTATGGACCAGGTTATTTATACTCTATGAAACTAAATCCTTGGACCTTTTTGGTTCCTCTTCTAGTCATCATCTTCCTCACCTTCTCGACATCAATCCATCGAGATTTAGCAGCATAGATGTTAGAAAGCAGAACATGATAGCCAGCATGAAATGGGTTCAACTGGAAAATTTGGTCTGTAATTTTCTCAGCTAAACCTATATTGCCGTGAATACGGCATGAACCAAGCAAAGACCCCCATATACTCACATCAGGTTCGACTGGCATGGTTTCTATGAGCTGTTCTGCTTCAGAAAGTTGTCCTGCATGGCCAAGAAGATCCACCATACACGAATAGTTGCTTAGCTTCGGTACAACCCCAAACTCTTCTCTCATCAATTGAAAATACTTCTTGCCTTCTTCTAGTGATCCTGAATGGCTGCAAGACGAGAGAACGCAAGTGAACGTCACGTGGTTCGGCCTCACCCCTTCTTTAACCATCTGGTGGAAAAGATTGATTGCATTCTTCCCATCTCCATGGATTCCATAACTTGCCATCATTGCACTCCAACAAACAACATCTTTCCCTGTTGTTTGATCAAACAAGGTATGTGCCAAACCCAAACTCCCACACTTTGCATACATATCCATGACAGCGGTCGCAACAGAGATATCGGATCCAAACCCGGTTTTGATTACATAATTATGAAACAATTCCCCTTTTCTCAAAGCTCCTAGATTTCCACAAGCTAGAAGAACACTCAATATGCCTACTCTATTGGGCTTCACACCTGAATCACACATCATATCAAAGAACTCCAATGTCTCACTGTTACAGCCATTGTGAGCATACCCAGATATCATTGAAGTCCAAGAAACCAAATCTCTCAGAGACATTTTATCAAACACTTGGCGGGCAGATTCAACATCACCGCATTTTGAATACATATCAACCAAAGCAGCATCGATGTAGAGATCGTTGTTACACCCACCACACAGAGTGATTGTGAATTACTCTCCCAGCAAACAAATCCGATAGTCCTGCACATGATTTAAGCACGAAAGGGAAAGCAAGCTTGTCTGATCTCAAACCCTTCTCTATCATCAAGCAATAAAGCTCTAATGATCCTCGAAAATGGCGATCAGAAGCGTATGCCCTTATCATGATATTCCATAGGTAACTATTTGGGTTGGGTAGAGCTTTGAATAGAAGAGTTGCTATGTCTATGCTATTGAATGAAATGTATGAAGTGAGCAACTCAGTTGATACATTAGAGTCGTTTTGGAGCCCTAAAGCAATGATCTTTGCATGAACTTTCTTGAGAGAACTAAGGCTGCTGGAGCATATTTGGAGGATGGATGAGACATATGAAGCAATCTCAGTGATGGGTTTGATCTTCTTCTGACCTTTTAGCATGAGGTTTTTGATGATGACCTTTGGCATAACTGCAATCACTTCCCACATAGTTGAACAATTCCCTTAATTTCCATTGATTGAACATCCTTGTTTGTTTGGTTGTGTTTTTATTTTTATTTTTATTTTTTGTTCTCATAAACTAAAACGAAGAAATATTTGAAAACAACCTTGGTTTCATTTTCGTGCAAAACAAAGTTTTCGAAAACTCGAAGTGGGTTGTTGTGGAAAAAATCTTTCGAAACCAGTTTGCCAAAACAAGTTGTTTTGGGAAAATAAAACCAAAAAAACTGAATGAAAACATCTAGAAACCTTGTGAAAAATGCTTCTGAGCTACATTATAAACTGCAGGTACCTAGTTGACGAATTTCCTATGATTTTTCCTTTTTTCCATTTTAGATTTTCCGGGTTTTTATCCATTTCCTTTATCTAATTCTCTCTCTGTATTCACACTTCATGGTTTTGTTTTGTGTTACTGAATTTGTTTGAAGAATGCACACCAAGTTATCCTCAAACCCAACTTGTCTTGGTTTGGGTTGGTCACATTTGGAAAATATGCTTGGTAAATTCACTAATTATTATCTTGGTTTGTCTTCATTCTATTACACCTTTGTTCATAAAAAATTCTTTAGTTAGTTTCTTGTTTATATCCGAGTTTTGAAGATACTTCATTGTTATCCTTTCAGATTAGGTTGCATGAGCATGTTGAGGCGCTTGGTGACACAAGACTACTTTGATAATTTGTTGCACATTTGATTGTCACGCTTTAAAATTTGAACAATTAAATATTAAATTAGAACTAAACTCCAATCAATATTTCATCATCCAAATCTTGGGATGAAATAAAATCTAAATGTTCTCGTCCCAATCCGGTTTATGTAAATTTCAATACTAAAAAGAAAATACAAGGGATAAAAAAAAAGTAACAAAAGCCAACCAAATCATCCATCACCTCCCCCACATTAAATTCTCATATATCCACACAATTAATAAAGTCAAAAATAAATAAAGTAATAATAATAATAAATAAATAAATAATGATTTACAAAAATCAGGATCGTTACATTGATGGTTAAGGTACTACTACTATTTGCACTGCTTTTGTTCTCAACCTGTGTAGGTTTTCACAACAGGAAAACAAGAATCAACCTCAGGACCTTAGGATTATAATTTGATTAGTAAAGGAAACCAATCACTTTCTCATTATCATCCTTTTATTGAGAAAATGTTCAGCCACTACAAAGTAGGTTTGGGCCTTAATTTTATTATTAAAAAAAAAAATGGAAAAAAAAGAGAGAAAAAAAAGAAGACGATTTGGGCCTTATTCCTTACAACCTAGAAACTGCCAAAAGTTCAATGTTTAGAAGAGAGAAAGCAAGGACAGTCCAAATTTCTCTTTTGCTTCCTTATCAAAAGGGTCATCTCCCAGATACACTTTCAACCTTGCTCACCTCCTCACCCATCACTGCACTCACCACAATGTAAAATTTTTTTTTGAGATTTCCTCAAAAAGAATTTTGAAACCAGTTTTTGGAAACAATTCACCAAACAAGTTATTTGGAAACTGAATACAGAAATCGAAAACACAACCAAAAAAGGCGGCTGTTCCCTTTGTATCCTCACCTTTTGTTTGAAGAATGTATCCTGGAAGCCGAGAAATCTCAATTACAGAACCGGATGTCAGCTTTATGTCATCTGATGCTTCACCCATAATCCTTCGTTAAAACAAACAACAGTCAAATCTTTTAAGTTAAAAAGTGTTCAATTAGTAGCTAAATAGAAATATGCAGTTATGGTGATTTCAAATAACCAACTTACTTCTTTGTGAGCTCGTCGTTTTTTCTACCAGTGAGCTTTTTGATAGATGCTCCAAGACCTTCATCGAAGTTCTTTCTTACCATGCTCATAGTAAGGCCAGAAAACACAATTACCAATCTCACCAACATTCCCACATCACTGTCAATTACCAGTTGATACATTTCCTTGGTAGGTTTTGCCCATGCTTTTCCAATTTTTGACCTCAGAAGATCTCTCAGTTTCTCATTATCTGCATATATCCCTGCAACTGAAAAATGTTACAAGTAACTAACTTTTTTTTTAAGCTGTGGCATGATACTTAAGTTCCATTTGTATTTATGGATTTGGCATTAATCACTCAAGGAGAATAGCTCACATCCATCCAACCAGACTCTTAGTATCATTTTATTTCTGGACTGGTCAACCCAAGGCATTTTTTATTCATCATTAAGTTAAATACACTTTACACTTACATCGGTATGAGCTAACCTAGTCTTTTCTTTTTTTAATTTGTGAGGTTTTGTAGTTATAGATCAAGAAGTATATATGAGTATAAACTGAGCATTTGACAGAGTGAGTACATACCAAAGCCATAGATTTTGATGCCCATGCCAAGCATGCTCTTTTTCCTCGAACCAACAGTATTCAACTGCTTCCCATCATCCAGCTTAACCGAAAAAGTGACTCCGGTCTTGGGTTCAGTCTCAACAGGCACCTCCTCTTTCTTTGTCTCATCCTTTGGCCAGTCTTTTTGAACTGCCTCATTCTGTGTCTCACTATTGGCAATCTTAGGCATAGTAGTACTATTGGCTTTCTCATCTTGAGGTGTCTGTGGCTTTAAGGCAACACCAGTTTTGGGCTCTATCTCAACCATGTCTGTGTTGGCAATAACCTCCTCCGCGGTGGTTGCCATTCTTTATAGAGTATTGATGTTGTTTGTTTTGGTTGGCTATACTATATACTATGGTGTGTTTATATGGGGAGATTGCAGGTGAGTGAAGATGGGATTGCATTAAATTGGCATTGATGATGAAGATATATATAGTTGTATGCTCAGGATCTTCAATCCCATTAGTCTCGAACACTCTTTTTTCTATTAGAGATAAAATTTGGGACAGAAGAACAAGATTGGAATACGTATCATTATCAACCAATATAAAACAGTATGAGCTGATATATGTAAATTTTAGTACTGAAAGTTCAAAATCCCAATACGATATGTATCAGCTGATATTTAAAACCTTGTAGTTGCAAGGGGAGGGTAGAGCATCTATCTCTTAGGCCTAGCTACACCTCGATATGAGCATTAGATAGGGCAAGTTAAAAGGGTGATGAGTCTCCATGAATGTTTTTGCAGTTCATCCACAAAAATGTGGAATTCTCACGTCCCTCGAACCAACCTCCCTCCATGTAATCCTCTGATCTATTGATAGCTTAACAATGCTCATTTGATTCTGTCCATTTAGGACTGTTTTGAGTAGTTTCTGTTAGTGGTGAGGTTTAAGAATGATTATCTGAAGTCTATGGACCCAAAATCAATAACATTAAATAATTTGAGTCATACATATGGGAGGGTGAATCAATCATAAAAAATATAGTTCACTTAGATTGCTTTACATATGTTTTATGCGGTTGATTTTCAGACTTCATAAATAATTGATTGCTAATGAATGCAAGAAGAAATCTTGAGAAAGCAGAAGAAGATAAAAAGGATATAGAAACTTAGAAAGTTGTGTGCTTTGTAAAATATACAAGTAAATCAATGTGTAATTTAAATTTATTTTAAGTGTGAAAAATAAATATGAACTCACATTAACTTTTTTTTAATATTTAAATAGGGTTAATTAGCCAATTGTATGTTTTTGTTTTTGGGTCATTGCCAATTGTATGTTCAAAATCCAACTAAGCTAGACTTGAATAAGTTACTCTTCAGCACGACTTAGCTCGTTTACAGTCATACTTTCTCCCCTTCTTATATTGATACTATTATTTTGATTTTTCACATATGATTTACATTTTAGAACTTGTTTTTAGGGTTTTGAAACTAGATTTAGATTACTAGAATAGCTATATGGAAGGTGGAAGTAGGACAGTCTGATCACCAATTTGTAACCAACATGAGCTGGATTAGTTGGGACACTTTGAAAGAGGAAGAAGAAGAAGGGGGGGTCAATACTGGAAGGCCAAGCCACCCACTACTTTCATACTTCCTTTCTCCATATAGTCAAAAGGGAAAATACAAAAAAGCAAAACTCACTACTTTTATATTGTTAATAGATATGCATATCTTTTTTAACTTTTGTGGATGACTTTTATGTTGTTTGGGGGCACAAAATTTGTTTGTTTTGTTTTATTTATCATTATTATTTTTTTTAACCAAAATTCTTTCTTTCTTTTTATTTATTTATTTATTTTTATAAACTTAATAAAGACATGTTTTCAAAACATAACTTGAATTAATTTATTAAAATAAGTTTCAAAAATATAATGTCCAAGTTTTTTTTTTTTGAACATGAAAAAAGGATGCTCCATGAAGGCATTATAATATACGTGGTCCTGGCATCGGCGTAACCAATCGTTGATCAAATTTAATCTAATTCAAAGGAAGGGACCTACCACCAGAGTAACAGAAGAATACACCAACCCCCAATACAAGAGGCAGAGTCCCGATCGAAGTATAACGTAATCAGCCTCATGCCCCAAGAGTTAAGCCCTACTTAACTGTGTGGAAGGAAGGCACCTTTTCACCCCATCACCACCCCGGTGGTAAAATCTATCACAGTTTGAACCATGGTTTCAGATGAATCCCAGTAGGGTTATTTTTCTACAATACAATAATAATAATAATTAAAAGAATCCTCTAAATTAAAAGCGTACACCCCTTTTTCTACTCTGTACAATTTTCTTTGCAACTATTTATTTGGAGCACATACCATAGCTTGGATTATGGAGAAAACGACAGCCATAGACTCGCGATGCTAAACGACACATGCTAAAACTAAAAGGGCTCATTTGAGAATTATCTTTTTTAATAATTTTTTAAATTTTTGTAAAAAATCATGTAAAATATAAAGAGAATGAATTGATTTTCAATGTTAATAATAATAATAAAATAGGCGAATAAAATTGTAATTCTATATGACGATAAGAATAAAAATACACACCGACACGCTTTAGGAAAGCTCCATTGCAGCAGCTGCGTTGAATTTGCTTCTTGGCCTTAGATTCTTTTTTTTATTATTCATCTCCCTCAACAACCCAATGTGAGGTCTTTCCTTTTACATATCAAATTAGTTGTTTGTTTTTTTGCCCTTCAATTCTCTTGTGTTTGTTGTTCATGACGTTGTACAAATCACATGTATTAATGATTGTTTGAAATGATTTAAATAAGTATATTTTTAAATTTTTTATAAAAAAGTATACAATGTAATAAAGAAATGATATAATCTAAATAAAAAATGATGTGACTAAATAAAATAAAAAGATAAAAAGACGTGTTAAAATAACACATGCCAAACAACCTTTTGCTCTAGAAGACAAGACCTGAAGTGATTACATGGTTTGTATTTGTCAAACAATAAATAGATATGAAATAAAGAAGTGTAAATTATATTGAAATTTAAAATTTAAAATAACACATGCCAAACAACCTTTTGCTCTAGAAGACAAGACCTGAAGTGATTACCTTGTTTGTATTTGTCAAACAATACATAGATATGAAATAAAGGAGTGTAAATTATATTGAAATTTAAAATTTAAAAATTTAATATAATTATATTAATTTTTTTAATAAAATTATAGAGATTGAAATTAATGTAAATAATATGAAAATACAAGGTTAAACAAGGCCAAATTTGCATTTCAACATAAATAATAAATAAATATGATAATATTATGGAAAACATTTGGTGATCTAAATTTTTGTGATTCAAATAATTCGAATGTATTAAAACGACGGCGTTTTACACTCAAAATGACGTCGTTTTGGGTGTTTCGAGCCATTCGAACCATAATTTTTCGAGTCACCTATCATTGTTGTAATATTATATAGCTAACAAATTATTAATGAAAATGAGACTAATGATTATTTTGAGAATTAACTTTTTTAGAGTGACATTTTAATTTTTATGAAAAGATATGTAAAAAAATAAAGAAAGTAATGATATTTTTGTAGTAATTTTTTTTATTTTTTAATTAAAATATAATGTATCAAAATAGACTTATGTAAATTAAAATTTAAAAAAAATTATATAATTATGTTAAAATTACGAAATTTTATATTTTTTACAAATCTGAAAAGATAAATACAATTTACCTAATAATCTAATAACAACACTGTTACCATCATTGACATTTTCGCACTCTGAAATCATCAAATGTCAAAAAAATATTGTAAACATTTTCTCACACCTCACTGATTTCGATGAGTAAAATTTCTTTGTCTAATGAAAATATCAAATAGATAAGGAATAAGAAAAGTAATGGTAAATCAATAAAGTTTATTTTTATCATGCACATGTTTGATAATAATCTGTTAATTTTCAAATAATTTTACTATTTATTCATTTTTTTCAAATAAAAATGATGGTGAAGAAAGAGTAGTCAACGCTTGTGAAATCATTTAACTAAGTTTATTGATTAATAAATTTTAAAATTAATATAGTACATTTTTTTAAAATATTTTTTTGAATGTTAGTGCATTAATTAATATATTTTTTTATGATATATATTTTTATAAAATATATAATTATTGTACACTTGTTGAGAAGTATTCTTAATTAAGGTTATCCTTAACCAAATTCAAAAAATAAAAACAAAAACCAAAAATTTAATTCTTTAAAATAGATAATGAATTAAATTACCAAACCTTCAACTAGGTCAAATTTATGACTCCCAATAATTTTATTCTATAAATAGTTATTTTGCTTGTACCAAAATCAATAATAGAACCAGAGATAAGCCTCTTTGGTGTAATTTTAATAAACAAAAATTCAAAACTACTCGCTCTCTTAATTTTTAGATAATCAATTTATTTAAGTTAATTCGGCCTAATAATAATAAGTCATAAACATAAATTAAAAAAAAAAGGAGATTTGGTCAAAATTTTTTCAAAATACTTTAATGCATAAGGGATAAGTACAAAAATTTTCTTTAAAAAGTTCAACACATATCATTATTACCAAAATATCCTTAGTAACTAATTTAATATTTTAAATTTTAAAATGATATAACTTTTAATCTAAATGTCAGTTTTTAATAAAATTTATATTTTTTGAATACTCTCATCAAGATCTATCAAACAAAATATAAGTTGAGAATAAAATTCTTTTAAAAAAATACCATCTATGCTATGTTTCACAGTAAAATTTACTATCATTAAGCATATCAACAATCAAAGTTTATCGTCGTTAACTAGAGTAAAATTTTATTTTACAAAAAATAGAGTACATATTAAAAGAACGAACGAAAAATACAGATACACAATATTTCTAAACTTGTAAAATAAATAAAAGTGAAAAATTATTAAATTGATAAACAATAATGTTAGTACAAGCCTAGTTTAAGGTACATTGGAAGAAACAAACAATAATTACGTTCTTTTCTTATCTATTTCTTCGAACTTAGACAATTATGACTTGCGAGTTTCTTTTTCGGTGATTGATTAACGAGGAAGACCACAGATTTTGAGACTTCCAAAAATAATTTTATGACACTACCAAATTCCAAACATATAAGGATTTCTCACTCAGATAATTACAAACTAACTAATCTTGCAAATTTCAAATCTATGAGATATATATATATATATATATATAGATATATGACGGGATATATGAGATGTTCTAAATAAGTGTATTTTTTGACTTTTTAAACTAAAAAATTGAGGAAAAAATATGGTTGTTTGAGTTAAAA